AAGGACACACTTATGAGTAGTAACGAATGGAGTAATTATAGTTATATACTATACCATCATATGAATCAAATACCGTCAATTAAAATCTAAAAATTAACCATTAGAATCTACTTCGAGATTTGGTGTATCTGAAATGTAAACTCTTGCACAATTTGGATATTGGAGAGTGGAGACCATAGGTAAAGAATCGCAAATTTGAAGTCCCATAAAAAAAAATTGTATATAAGACATCCATTAAATCTGGAGAAGTTATATGTCATCGAACTTTTATTTATTAATGATAAAATTACGACTCAAAGATGCCGAGTTCAATAAATATACATATACCAAGTTATTAGTCATGTCAGGTAGGGCTGGGCAGCGGGTCACCCGCGGGTTTGGGTCGATCTCTCCGCATTTTATCCGAATTTAGTTATTTGGGTGGGTATGTGAGTGGGTGACGGGTTATGTTGGGAGACATCCGCCGGGTGGTGGGTGGGTTGTGGGCGGGTGTGCGGGTGACCCGCACAACCTAACAACAAAAAGAACAAAGTCGTTGGCACTGGAGAGTGGAGAGTGAAGAAGCTGATGAAAATTAGGGCTACTCGTGGAGATTGAATCTCAAAGCCATTCTTCCAAATCTCGACTTCCCTCTTCTTCTCTTTATTTTTTCCTCTGATTTTTGTTCCAAAATCACCTCTATTTCCTTCGTTGAATTATTTTTCTTAGTTCCTGCCCCAGATAATCATCTCCATCCGTAGAAAAATCCTCCATAATAGAATTTCTATCCAATTTCAGAACTAAGTCGACATTTTTTCTTCCTATTCTATCTTCTTGTTTCCGCTCGATAACTCCCCATCAATTATCTTGCCACTTGAAGTGAATCTCAAATTTGGAGGGTAAATGGATGTTGAAATGGATTTTTATTTTACATATCGACATTACAGTGGGGGTTCTGAAATATAAATGGATAATGCCAAATTGACTCTTTTATATTATGTACATTGTGAAGTGGGTGAATCCCCAAACCTACCCGCATTATCCGCCATCCACCCAACCCAACACGAAACTAAATGTGGGTGAATGGTGGGTTTAAAATTATCAATTCATTTAAGTGCAAATTAGTACATTTTATAGTCAAAATCCACCATGCCCACCTAATGTTCACCCTTGTCATTTATGCAATTCTGAGGCTAAAGAAACAAAAAACATAATTAATTTGACCATGATCACGACTGTGCAAGTGGGATAAAGATATAAATAATTGCTTTTTTTACTAGGTCTCCACTCCCTGCATGTATACGTATCATCCAATGGTGATTCTCCTTTTGGTCACCTTCATTCATGGTCCATATTGATTTCAATAGCGATAATGACTAAGATGTTTTCATAAAAGAATACATTGGCTAGGGTTTTAGTTTAGAGATCGATCACATTCTTAAATAATACATTGTGTTATTATTATTATATATCCAAAGCTTTTGAACTTCTTGATCAGCTTCTATTGTTGATCGAACCCATTTATTCTTATCAAGAGCACAACATGTGACTAATTTATACCATTGTCATAACTCATTCCATATCCATGCATATTGTGGCTCATCACTGCATTTTTCTAATGTATTACCAGGACTTCCATCGTTAATAATATTGACTAATTCTCGTCACGAGTGATTCATGCACGGAGCAGTAACTGAGTGAAATATATTTTGGATGAAGAAAAATGTAGAAGGATCCATTTTTGGCTGCACATGGAAAAGATGACCATATATTTCAACAACTAACTTGGGCACCGGTTAAAAGAGAGTGTTTTTGCCAGTTTGGTGTAATGTCAAAATCTTGAAACCAACCGAATACCAAGTTGCCTTCCACAAACAAACTTCTGAATTAGGCAAAAGATCATCTCTGTACATACATGTATCATCTCGAAAGAAATCCAATTTATGCCCTAAAAAAGGAACTCACACGGTAGTTCTTTTGGGTTATCATGTTTTTAGGCACTGGTGACAGATTCTGGTAAATCTCTTTCTCCTTAAGACCTTTTTGGTCCTATGTATTAAATTGGCAACAAATGAAATGGGTGGGAATACAGTTTCTCTACGTTATGAGCTTGAACCGGAAATGAAGTAGCTAGTGGATGTTAGGAATCGTTCTACTTCACATTGTTCCTTTATATTACATGCACACTACTACTTCAGATGAAAGATTTGGAAATCCAAATTTACTAGATTTCAACGACATGGATCTACCAACACCTATGTTCCGGTAAAGATATATAACTTATTAGTTTTAACTTAGCTAGTTGATCATAGCAACTCACTGAAATGCCTAGACTAGAAAAGGCCAATTGATAGAATGAACTTTTGTATCATTTTCTTTTTCACGCAAGTTCAAAACTCTCTTTGGATGATTGGACTTCTTTTTAACAGATTTCTTATGAAATTTATTATAGAGTTAATGTAAAAATAATGTGAATCGTCATTTTGTGATATGATGAACGAGAAAAATGTATGAATTTTATTTTTTTATTATATATATTTAAGATGTCCTTCAATATGAAGGATTTATGGTTTACAATTTGGGTACTTGTGTTAGGATTCAAAATTGAAGGTATAGGGTCCACTGTTCAGGGTAACATGTCGATTAGTTGTGAGTTGTGACTTTGTTATATCAATATATTAGACTAATGCTACCAATTAAAATTTTAAAATTGACGTTGTAAGAGTAATTTAACAGTGGGTGTATAGTATGTATTCATTTTTGTGAGTGCACCGTAAAAGTCACATTTTTTTTATTATGTCAATTATACATATGGTAATGTGCAGACAAAATCTGGGTTAGAACCGTTCTTACAAAATTTCCATCGCGTTCATCCGACGATCGCGGCAGATCTTACGTGTTCAGGGGTTTGCTAAGAGGGAGAATAGCCGAGTTGCTCACCTATAGGAAACATTTCCTTTCCCATGACACCTGCAGCTAGCTAGCAAGACAGTGGCTTTAACTGGACTTTGCATAATGGGACCAACAGAAATGTCTATGTATCCGTCGGCGTACGTCGCTAGCAGGTTTGGGGTTAGCTATATAGGAGACAATATTACTTCATCATCAATCAGTTGTTTTCATGACCATCATGAACACGTCCTTAATTCATGTCACTTCGATCACCCTGACCTGTCACCACTAAAATCACTTTTACAAAAACTCTAGAACGAGAGAGATAATTCGTGATAAGAGCGTTTGTTAGAGGTTCCAGTTCGACATGATCGACGCATAGCTCGAGCCCAGATGAAATTTTGCTCGTCACCTCCACTAGAAGAAAGAAGATTGAGAAGATGCAACTTCATGCTAGTTGGGTATTATCCGTTTAAATTGCTGGATCTAATAAGTCTAGCTAGCTAGGAACATATTAGCAGGGAAAGACCAGAAAATATTATACAAGTGTTGTTGTTCTCCATCTCCTTTGGAAGAAGAAAACATAAAATAAAAAGGTGGAAAAGAAGCATTCAAAAAAAGTGTAGGAAAATTGTCGGTTCTGTAGGGTCAGGGGTGGTCGACCAAAAAGACGGTAGTTTGTGACTGATTTTGGAATCTTTTTGGCACAAGCCAATGATTTTTCCTGATGCATGCTTTCCTTCCTTCAATCTCAATCTTGAAAACATTATGATGCAATTAATTAATGTTTGTTTTAGATCTGATGTTCTTATGCTGTATTCGGACCAACGTTCCTCGTTAAGTTTGAAAGCGGAGGAGGAACCCACCCAATTCGGCTACCAGGCTGGTGATTGATGGGCTGAGAATTGTAGGAATTTTGAATCGATCTATCTCAATGAATTATGCGATCGCGAATTATTTCGAGCACAAAAATAATCATTTGAGATGATGTCTATTACGCATAGTCGTTTGAACTATCGTTTATGAGACAGAAAAAAAAAATTGGTTTAACCAGCGTTTCTCATTGATTCGGAAGATGAATACAACATTTTTAACATCCTCATTTTGACCATCTCGTGAAAATTTAATGGTACAAAATTAATCTCATTATGAGCATATATAAAATACTCTCCGAGTCTCAAGTTCTTTGGGACTTGTTCGTTTTAGTGGCGTGCATTTACTAATTTGATCTTTTCATGAGAAATTATACAATCAGATTGATCATAAGTTACGACAATAAATCAAATTCAACACAAAATTGGGTCTTGAAATTCTCATTGGAACAGAGGAGAACAAGAATGATAATGAGGAAGGAAATAGTTTTGACTGCTAGAATCGATCAAACAAACTAAATGGGTATTCCATTCATTTTCTTCTTTTTCAAGGGTTATTATATTGCATCAATATACATATGATCAGTTGGAGTGAACTTTATGGTTTTCATTTGCATGTTAAGTTATCGATCGTTTTCTCCCAACCACTATCTCACCAACCAATCCAAACCAGCAAATCAACCCATTTTTGTTTTCTTTTTTCATTATAATCTGCAAAAATAAGTCCATAAACAACAAATATGATCATATGAGTCTCTCATCACGGTACAGCTGGCACTGATGACATTTTTATACTTGCAATTTTCTTTTCCTCATAGTGGCATGCATATTCTTGAATCTGGCTGGTGCATCTATATATGTGCTCTTCATGTGACTAGTGTTGGCTAAAAATGAAGCACCTTCTGTCACAGATCTGGCTTTGCATGGGGAACAATGTTGGTGAGTGATGGTAGAGTGACTAGAGTGTGCGTCTGTAGAAATTGACAATTCGAAAATGAATCAAACACGAGATTTACGTGATTTTCTTATTTAGTGTGGACGAAACTACTCAGGAGCTTTCTTGGTTTGTCATTCACTATTGATGGTTCCTTGTTATAAGCTTGTTGTTGTTGCAAGACTTCAGCAAACCAGGGCTTTGCCTCTTTACATCTCTCGGTGACAGAAATACATCTGTGCTTGGATTGAATTCAGCACAAGCCCTCGGACACTCAAGTCAATGTAGAAACCACAGAGAATAACATGACTAGAAAATACCAGGAAAACATATATTTTTCATTAGACCAAAATACAACTGAGACATCTTATGTACAACAACAACAGCAACAATAATAGCAGCAGGGGCATAGTCTTTCTAGCCATACAATGGCATTCAAAGCCATGGTTCAACAAACTAGAGTACTTCTTTTCTCTGGAGATTATTCAAAGCAAAACTAGACATAATATCCAAAGAACGATGATCATAAATAGAACCAAGGAACCACTAACTAAACAAGGGTAGACTGACTCAGAAGCAGAACCCCGCACTCGCTGCCCCCACTGCAAATTCAGGGTGGTAATGCAGCATCTCCTTCAGCATCGTCTCACGTATCATCTCCTCCCCCAAATCCTCATCGATGTCCAGATCGAGGGGAATCTGAGCCGGAGGGTTGCAGGTGGGATCATAGAGCGGGGACAAATATGGGTGCTGCAGTGCTTCGGTCACAGTTATCCTCTTCGAAGGGTCGAAGATCAGCATCTTCCTCAGCAGATCAATGGCCAGAGGATGTGCATTCGGGTACAGATGGTTGAATGGCGTCCCTGGTGAATAAGGAATCGACTTGATGAACTTCTTCGCCTTGATGTTGTCGATGAACTCGAGATCTTCTTCCCTCTGGCTACCCAATATGTTGATGATGAGCTTGAGCTGGTTTAGGCATTCTGTCCCCGGGAAGAGAGGCTTACGACCGAGTAGCTCAGCGAATATGCAGCCTACTGACCAGACGTCGATCGAGGTCCCATAGTTGTCACAGCAGAGGAGTAGTTCAGGTGCTCGGTACCAGCGTGTGACCACGTACTCAGTCATGAACTGGCCCTTGCCTGTGCTGGTCCTCGCCAGGCCGAAATCACAGATTTTGAGGTCACAGTTCGCATTGATGAGAAGGTTTCCAGGTTTTAGGTCCCGGTGGAGGATGTTTGCTGAGTGAAGATACTTCAGGCCTCGAAGCAACTGGGAGCAATGGAAAAAAGACGCTATGAGTTAGGCATAAACAGATGAACAGAAGTTAAGAAATGGATGTATAGTAGAGAACATGGATTTTAAGAAATCATGTATCTTGTCGATGCGGATTGTAAGAATGTGTGTGCAATGTTCGAATACAATGCATTGGTTCAGCACAAGGGAGCAATTTATGGTAACCAAACAAATCTTAACTCATCTTATCAGAAGTTGAAATCGACGAGCATAAGTAAATTACAGCGAAACAAGGCCATCATCATCTTATCAAGGCATGACCTAAGACACTTAGAACTAACAAGCAATGGAGGGCTACAGCAATTTAACCTTCTTATGGACTTTTATCATAACACCATCTTCAGGAGCAAGACAAATGAAACTGGAGACTAGAAGTTGAACCAGAGAGGGAGAGAGCAATAGGATGTGCTAGATCTCAAAAGCACAAATGTGCACAGTGATTTCTAAAAATCAAATCAAATTAAAAATTAACCAACTTAATCCCCGTTTGAAGTCCATTGTCTTGTTAGGGGAATTAGCTGGAGGGTGAATCATAGAGCCGGCCAACACTGCAGCCTCCTAAAATGCTTGCCTAAGCTTCATTGACCATTTTGTTAAGTGTCTCGTCCCATCTAACTTCATTTTCCGACACCTAAACTAGATACAAACATCCATGGATATATGTATGTCAATCAATACAGCAAAAGCCACATTCCATCAATTGAAAACGAAACTTCAAAATCAAACCAACCCTGCAGTTTAATAGTATCTGGATATCATTAGTTACTGCAACTTCCACAAACTACAATATGAACCGAAAGAAACACTTATTAGTCAGAGAACATGCATTATGCAACCAAATTGAGAATGATGCTCCAATCTTAACACACATAACTATTCGCAATCTTGCATTCATATGCAATGATAGTTTTTCGCACGATACCTGGAATAGGAAGTACTGGCAGTGATCATTACTAAGGGACTGAGACGACTTGATGATCTGGTGGAGATCAGTGTCCATCAATTCATAAACCAGATACACATCCTTGAAACTCCTCCTATGTATTGGCATCATCACGTCCTTCAAAGCAATCACATTCTCGTGGCGAAGATGGCGAAGGAGCTTCAGCTCGCGGAGAGTCCTCAGAGCATCAATGCGGTTGTCGAACACATTATGTATCTTCTTGATTGCTACTTTCTCGTTCGTCTCCCTGTTGACTGAAGAGCAGACTATGCCATAAGCCCCTCTGCCGATCGGCTTAATTGGCACGTATTTGGTGTCGATCTCGAACAAGGTCTGCCACATTGAGTAGTAATGCTTGCCTTGAATCCTCACCCCGTTTGGCGGCTCGACTGGAGTGGCCATTTTCCTGCATATTGAACAGCAAAGGGGGAAAATGGAAGAACAAATCATTAAAGATCACATCTTTGATCGAATTGGACACTGCCCATCAGAATTCAGTCAACAAAGATTCAAAATTTTGATCTGGGCTAACTTGAAACAGAAATACCCATCACGGGGAAGAGCGCCGGAAAGTAAAAAAAGTTGCCAAAATTTTGACGTTTTCTGGTGCAGTAACTGCAGAAGTTTCCCCTCAACTTCCCCAGAAGGGAAATTTCCTCGCGAAACAAACAAAGCAAAAGAGAGAAAGGCAACTTACTTTCTATCCACTGCAGTAAATCTCCTCAAGCTCTTCTTCCACCTCCTCCTTCCTTCTCCCGGCGACCGTTTCTCACCGGAAGTAAACCACTGTTTTCAAAACCCCCCAACTCCCCGCGGCGGCACACACCATCCAAAATTCGTCTCCCCAAAATCCGCCGGCGGTCGAGATCAAGGCAAAAATTCCGATTCGCAGCAAATCAAACTCGCAATTCCGCTTGGCGCCATAGTTAAATAGCTTCGGATCCTGATCGGGATCCGGCTGCTTACCGTTGTTAAAGTGAGGGCTCTGTTTCTTCTCTTAGTTGGTTTTGTGCGCTCTTTCCAACGGCGACTTTCGATGAGATTTTGCGCTGGCGTGAAGATTCGTTATCCCTTCCGTATCAAAGAGTGTTAAAAGCTCAGTAAAAACGCTTTTTGAAGAAAAAATATATGTATATAAGCAGCAGGCAAGCAAAGGCGATCGAACAAATTGAAAACCCGGAGAGATAAGAAAATATCTGTCTGTAAGAAAATGGTAAAACAGAGGAAGAGGGGAGTAGTACTTTATCCTATGCCGGCGAGTAATTTGTTGAGTATTTATACTCCTAATCAGGAAAGGAGATCGATACTTCTCATGTGGGCGAATGGTGATGTGTCTGCAAAATTCTAATAAAGCCAAAAACCTCATGAGTATGGTTTGAGTCTTCTTTCAAAGTTTAGCCACAATACCATCATTGTGACAGGCAAGGCAAAAACTTCAACGTTTTCGAAGTGTCAAGTATGGCTAACAGCATCAGGAGGCACCATCCTCTTTTCTATCTAAAATAAAAAAAAAAGTTATGGCTAACAGCGAATTGTTGAGTGTTGTACTATTGTCAATATTAGATTACTGGTGTGCAGAATTTTTGCCGTATTATGCCAGAAGATAAAAGATGAAAACATTGGATAAACTACAATTGGTTTTTTTTTTCTCTCTTTTTATATTCTAAATTGACAACATTTTTTTTTTTTTGATAAAGGTGATAATGCATTAAAAGAAAGAAGAAACTGGAACACATGACTCAGTTCAGATACAAACTCAAAAAATAAAAAATAAAATAAAAAACTCAAAGGGAGCACAAGCAGTGCACCTCAATGACGAAACACAAAGGAAAAGGAAGGCACCAGGTTGCAAAGCAAACCGAGAATGCCCATCCCCCCGAAAACAGAGCAAAATTCGAACGAGATACGCCTGACAAACCCAACCACACCCCCAAAACAATCACAAAGATAAAGAAACAACAGCACAAACTCGAACACCCTGCTCAACGTAGGACTACAGCAACTCTGTCTCTCCAACCAGCCACTCAACATCCAGCAACGCCACTTTCGGTGGAGGAGGGCACCTGTACTCAAGCCCGTCATGAACGAAAAGCCCTTGTCACCATGAGTGCCCTTTGACTCCCAACCCCAACAGAACAGCTTCCATCCAAAAGACAAAATCACAGCACCTCCTCAAGAGGCCAAACTGCTCAATCGCCAGCATGCCTTCCTCCCCCATCCGCTCCTGACTCCCTCAAATCCCGGACAAGGACACCCTGATCCAACAAGCAACTTGCTCCACAACCTACAGGCCAAAAGCAGATAACAACTGAACACATCCCATTGCGCCCACAGTCTCACGGAATACTGACAAAGCTTTCACAGCCCCAAAACCCGCGACCAAACACCTCCCTTCCCTCGACGACAACCAAATCACACGATCAAAACCTCCCTCAGCCAGCTCTCCCCCTGATTCTTCTCAATCTTCCCCTGCGCCACTAACCATTCCATCGTTCCTCTTGCAGCCTTTCTAGCAACTACATACGCTGATGTCGACTTATCTTCAAACACGCGTTGATTCCTTTCCCACCACACTGACCACCAAACCGCATGAATAATACAGTACTTGAACCACCCCTCTACGCTGTCCGGCACCGACCCAGGGAACCTCAGCCCCACGTGTCGCTTGAGCGACAGCGGGGCCTACTAAATCTCTGGGGTACCTGCATACTAACCGTGGCTTTCTGCTACCAACATCGGGGAGGCTTCGCCTCCGATACCAAGGGTGCCGCCGGGAACGCGCAAGTGGCGCCACTGGGAATCGAACTCAGGACCTCTCACATCCAGAGCTCAATTGGTCCAGTGGTTTCACCACTAGGCTATGTTACCTTTGGCTAAATTGACAACATTGGATAATACAATCACTTGTATTAGGTTCTAATACATAGGTTATATAATAAATATATATTGAAAAATGGTAAGTAGGATGGTATGCTATTTAGCCAGAGTGTTTCGGTTTTTAATTGTTCAACAAAGAACCTGAGTTTGATATGACAATCAAATGTCGAAGTTGTCATTCTGCATATGAGCCCAAATCTGTGATGTTATTCCAGTATGCAAGTGGGCGTTACATATAACAAAAAATATTTGGAAGTTGATTGTTGTAGTCAGAAAGTTATAACCTTGTGAACTATATAAGGTAATTCGAAGTTGCCAATTACTCTTTATTGTTTGAAGATAATGTAATTGTTCTTGTATATGAAAGAAAAAGATGAGATTGTTCTTAGCTATGGTGTTTATGACTTATAGCTTGTCGTTAAGTATCCACTCATCACTTTGTGTTCAGGTACTTGGTCTTCATATTTTTCCCCGTCTTTGAACAATGTAAATGTTAGTCTACCCCATGAGTTACTAATTTACTGATAATAGTTTCAAGACTTGAAGTCAAGAAAAATTATTATTGTATTTCCTTGCATCTTCAATTCCTTCAACCACATTAATTACCTTCACTAACCATTATTGTATGGATTTAGAGTGAGAAAGGGTTAAAAATAAAAAAAACTGCAACAAATGGATCTCATCCTACCACTTTATTATGTTTTGTTAATATTTGAATACACTTAGTGTAAATCTTCAATAAAAATAATTGAGAAGAGACTTTAATCGCTCTCAAACTACCCGTAGCTCAACACCATTAAATATACATGAATTTCATTCTATCTACACCCGAACCAATTATTCAAATTAAACCCCAATTTTATTCTTATGTGCATTAAACCCCAAATTGAAATGGAATTAAACCTAATTGTCTGTCATAATTTTCACCCAAACCATGAACGATTCTAGCAAGCTTGACATGGAAAGCTAAAATTCAGGAGTCAAAGCAACTTCTTTCGTTTTTTTTCCGTCTCATTGCATGTCATGGGGCCATTGGTAGGCCAGCCGATTCTCCTTTCGTGGCGTGGCAAGCGACGACGACGGTAGAACACTGAAATCTCAAACGACGCCGGTTCGTCATGGGTCTTGACGTCGTTGACTTCTGTACCGTCGAGAGAGATCCATCTGAACCTGTGACCAAACAAGAATATACCGAATATTCCCATTTCCCGGCCGCCTCAGCCTCCGCTTAGGTTCAGTGTTTCGCGCCTGCACCCTTAAACGATGGATCAGCTCCGACCAAAATCGAGCTGGGATTTGTTTGCCAATAAAACTCTCATCGTAATAGCATAGCGATTAGCGCATAATCCAACAACCGTGAATCAATACAAAACGATGTAACTTCAGTGGCCGTTGGGACCTAGGTGGATTAGCACAATTAGTACGCCCAAAAGGGAAATTCTTGTTGGTGTACATTCGTTAATCATCATGCAATGAAATTGCAACTTCATCATATGTTTATCGCGTTATGGCTTCACTACAAATTAGGAGTCTATAGCTACGTGAGTCACTGTTTTTTTGTCATAGCCTCATAGGAATATGCGGCCGCTTTTTGAATCTTGATATATACAGACTTGTATATATGGACGGTTTTAGGCAAAAATCTCAAAATACACATCTTAATTTTTTTTTTTCAAAATACACATGTTATAAAATTATTCCCAATCTACACATGTTTGGGCATTCACCAAGGACGATCACAGCGGTGAATATTTCACCGTGCCGACTAAAGCGGTGAATGCATCACCGCGGCCGACCAAAACGGTGAATGCCTAATTTGCGTTGAAAATTCAAACGGACGTAACTTTGTGCTCGGTTATCCGATTGTAGCAAATTTTTTTATTCCGCATAATTTTTTTGAGATCTTGCAAGCCGCAAACAGCAATAGACAAGTTGGCCCCGCATTCGTTCAGAAAAACTTCATTTCCTACCCCGAACGAGCAATTTTCAATTTCGCCAAACTTTGACCGACCTTAACTTTGTGCTCCGCACTCCAAAAATTATTATTTTTATTTTATTTCGCATAGCTTTTCAAATGCTACAACTTTTACTAGGAAGGAAATTTCAAAACAGGAAGTATTTTTGGATATACGGGATTTTGAGAATAACTTTGCCTTTACTTTTCACAAATCCACATACATCCAAAATTATGGCTATGATAAAAGTTGTACTCCATAAATAGTTATGCGAAATAAAAAAAAAATCATAGGTTTAGATTTTGGAGCACAAGTTATGGTCGATTGGTAAAAGTTTGGCAAAATAAAAAAAATTGCTCATTCAGGCTAGCAAACGAAGTTTTTTCTGGACGAATGGGGGACCAAACTGTCTATGCATGTTTTCCTCTTGCAAGATCTCGAAAAATTATGCGGAATAATAAAAAAATCGCTACAATCGGATAACCGAGCTCAAAGTTATGTTCGTTTGAATTTTCAATGCAAATTAGGCATTCACCGCTTTAGTCGGCCGCGGTGAAGCATTCACCGCTTTGGTCGGCCGCGGTTAATGCCCAAACATGTGTAGATTGAGAATTTTTTTTTATAACGTGTGTATTTGGAGAATTCTTTTAAAAATATGTGTATTTTGGGATTTTTTCGACGATTCTATCGTAGTTTGAGTAAAATAAAAAATACAAATAATATACCTTAGTAAAAGAAGTATATCTAGATCTTGAATTGATCGGAGTTCGGGACATGATACTACAAAGAAATGGGCTTAGCCCAGGGTTTTATTTACTGCAGTTTTCGTAACCCCTGTCCCGCTTTGTTACGTTTACTTTTGGCAGCCGATCCTCCTGCGGTTGGAGCACCTGCTGAGAAGTCCAACCCTTTAATTGTTATTTTGATTTTTTTTGCTAACTGAAAATTGTATCGGGGAGTCCTCAGTTCCTCAATGGAACAATTCCCTTTTCCGAACCCTAACATTGCCATAGGCGAGACCCCCTCTCCAATCCCCGTGAGAATCCATGGTTTTTGCATCTCCTTCTCCGATCTTTGCAATTTGAAACTTAGATCTCTACTAGTTGACTGCTTCAACCACCGCCCCTGTCTACCCTACTACTCAGACGAACCACCATCTCCGGCCAGGTTTCCTTCTTGATATTCGGGTTCAAAGCTTGCCTCCTCAAACGAACCTCCTTCATGAAATCCAGGTTCGTCTGCCATTTCTCATCTACCTGATTTCGCATTTGTTTATTGTTGTCCTCTGGTAAGAACTTGTTTATTTGATTTCTTGCTTTCTATTTGTATTCGATTTAGGTTTTTGGTGAAGTCTCTCTTTTTATATTGCACAGTCGGCTTGTAGATCAAGGAGGCAAAGTCAGCAAGCTTTGAAACTTCA